TCACACACCGATGCTATGCATCGGCAGCAATTTGGGGTTCAGTATTTTGCTCAAGGACTTTGACATGTGGCAGGAGGAGCCAGGGATCAAACCCACAACCTTTCGATTAGTGGACGACCCGCTCTTCCTCTGAGCCACAGTCGACCTAGTGTAGCTTATCTTCTTCCCCCTGAACAAGGTAGAAGTGTTCCCCTGCTGATTATTCCTTTTTATTTGCATAATAAATGGTTATGGTTACATTTCTTCTTTTGCAGCAGTGCTGTTCTTTGTCTTGAATCTAAATTAGAGGTGAGGGTTGTGTGTGTGAGAGTGGAACAGGGAGCTGAGCATTGTCAGACAACAGGCAGCGCGCTGTTGAAAAAACAGGTGGGCTATTTGTCGTCTAATGTGGACTTCAGACCTGCATACAGGGATGATAATAATGACTACATTAAATATCAATCAAAATACAAAATACATACAAAAACATGCACTTCACATTAAACAAAAAGGCACACCTGAAAAAAAACAACACATGAAGGTAATTTGAATAATAATGCAGGAAAGGCACATTGTCTTATTGTTCTTGTTGACAAAGTACTAAAATAATATGAGTGAATAGTTTTGTTTCAGCTCTATCTTGAATGAAAGCGTGCATCTCACGCACTTGCTTACATGAGTCTTCATCTATGTATCTTTATCAGTCGAACATCATAGAGTTATGGTTTTGTATTTGTCATTAGTTTTCAGTTTTATTTTAGTTTTCATATCAGTTTATTTTCAGCTAGTTTCTAAAGTGGGTCTGCTCATTTAAGTTTAGTTTTTATTAGTTTCAATGTTAGTTTTAGTTTCTTATAGAATATGGGGGTCAATTGACGGGCAAGATTTAATTTTTTTATTTTATTTTGGTTAGCTAAAATAATTTTCACACCTAGATTTGTATTTTAGTTTAGTTTTAGTGAACTATAATAACCTTGCATTACAGCATTAGAGATGGGAATCAAGAACTGGTCTTGAATTGTTTGGAATCACATTTCTCCGAGCTGATCAATTCTTTTATCAATTCATTTGATTAGAGGATGACAGACTGTTGCTACAGTTAGCTCCCAGGCTCTAGGCCTTTTTTCTACTCTGTGTTTAGACTCAGAGATAATAAAACAAAACCTGTGTAGGCCTAGTTTTTTTCCCACGTAGAAAATTTATCAGAAATCAATAAGGTAATCGATCAAAAATTGGGCCAATAATCAACAGTGGCATTGCTATCAGTAAAATCTTATCAATTCCCATCCCTATACAGCCTACTGTGCCTCTTTCCTGTATTTCACTATGCGTGTCAGCTAAAATCACTAAAATTAGACAGTTGCTAAAAATAGATTTCATTGGCCACATGCCAAAGAAAATTGTTAACTGTGAAGAACTGTGTAAAATGATCATGTTGGCAAGTACATTTGCAGAATAATGTGTGTGTGCATGCAGGTGTGGAGGTGAAGCTGCACTGGTGTGTGTGTGTGTGTGTTTTCACTATAGATTTAATCATGCTAACAGCTGGTGTATTTTGCTAAACTAATTCATATCCTCACTATCAAAGCCTGCTTTGTGCAAACCCCCGCTGAACTGTAGTGAACAGGTGTGTGTGTATGTGTGTGTGTGTAACACATGCGCCTGGCTGTGATGATGGAGGCAGAGGATTTAGAAGAGAGGAAGAGTGAAGGAGCAGGAGATACAGTAAGTAGATGATATGACAGATGGAAAGAAGGTGTGTGAGGATGTGTCTTTTAATATGACTTAAGTATAGCTTCACTCTGATGTTACTCCTGCAGCTACACCTGAAGCCACTGCTGTTGTCAGATAACACTATTTCATGCACAATGAAAAACAGTTAATTAAGCATTAAACATTTTTTGAACTGGATGACAGTCCATTTTTGAGATTATCTAAAGGCTTTTCTGGTTTATTTGAGTTTATTTGAATGGATAAAAATGTACCCTAAATAAAGCAATTAATCGATTAGTTGTTTGGTCCATGAAATGTCAGAAAATGGTGAAAAAATGCCCAGATGATGTCCAGAAATGTCTTGTTTTGTCCATACACAAAGATATTCAGTTTACTTTCATAGAGGACTAAAGACACCAGATGGTTTATTACGCATAACCATCTAAGAATCGGTCATCATTACTGTTTGAATGGAGGGCTCTTTCAAAAAATACTTGGCAGGTGATTGGATGAAACATCTGTCTATCCCCATCTATCTTGGCGAACTTCAACCAATCAGATCAACGAACCACATATGGTGGTCAAACTTTAAAGGAGAAGGAGAAAAACCTTCAGTGCTGTTCTTTGCTCTTCTTTCAATAAAGAAATATTCCGCAGTTCTGATAAAAAATGATGCTAGCAGCATCTACGCTAACCTCATTAGCAGCCTCCATTGTTTGTTTTTTTGGAGCATGCTCATAAAAAAATCCCATAGGTTGAAGCCTGGCAAAATGGGATTTCGTGATCTTGCGATTCCAGCTGCCTCATAAAGTAAAGTTAGCACAAGTATATTTGAATCATTTCTGGAGTTATAGAGTTAAAGGTTCAACAGTGTGATGATTCCAGAATTAAATGTGATACTTATTAGTACTGAATAAGAGGTGAATTAGCCAGGCCTTATCTGTTCTTCTGTCCTTGTCCAAGACCCTCATCTTTTTCATGCCTTATAAAGTGTTGTCAGACTGCTCAGTAGTCTCCCAGCAACAGTGTTGCAGTGATTGTAGTGAGAGAAATGCCCTGGCAGAAGAACTGCAAACTGTGCAGACTGAACTTTTTAAGAGGAGGGTAGAGGAGCACTCAGCAGTGAGGGTCAGGGCTTCTATTCCCTGATTAGGATGTTTGCTTTATTGCAATGGAGATCTCACACTGGCTCCACCTTATTGACGGGGGGGGGGGTTATGCACATTTCTACAGTAGTTCAATATGGGACAAACCGAACCCATTCTCAAGTTCTCAGGGTTCATCTAGATCAGTCCCTCCGCAGAAAAAATGTGATTAATGCGATCGCATAAACTCGAATGCAAAAATAGAGTCAGCCAGGTCCTCTGCATATTTTATGCGGGCGCGCGCGGGCGCATCTTCTTTCAGAACTACGCCGCACTTCTCGCCCGCAATAACATTGCCCGACTCCACGCAATATATCGCACAGGGCCTTGCCATGATTTGCATAATCCCATGGCATTTTCGTGTGCAAAAAAGTCACGATAATATTCTAGCAGAACAGTTGCAAAAATAGTTGCGTTTTACGCTTCACTCAAGAACACCCCATTTTCCTCCCTGTTGCCCAATGGGAACTCGTATTCGAGCGTGACTTAAGTTATCCGCGACGTGCGAACATCATCCGACAATGCTGCAAACCCCGCGATGACAAACGCTTGTACAGCGTCTGCTAAGTAAGTGCCTAGTAAGTACTACGCTCGTCAGCTAGTATGTAAACTGTCTACCCCGGTCTAGCAGTACAGACAGCATCTGACCTTTGTGGCCATTCCGGAAGCACCGGTTTATCTCTTAACCAGCAAGATGTCTGCGTTTGCGTATAACGCCTAGCCTGCTACGCAAGACAGGGCAAGCACACATTTTATTTTTTATGATTCCTTATTTAGTTCCATTTTACCAGAAGTTGGTGAGCATGCACTTGCCTTTTGTAGATAGGGCTACCAGAACCTTCGTCTTGACTCATCAATGTTTCCACTCGTAAGTGTTGAAGGCCATGTGTTTATCTAAGTGCCTGAAATAACGAAGATGAGAGACTTCAAATATCCT